TCACACTCTCACCGCTGCTCTCCGACTCTCCTGCGGCTCCTAGTCCGCCCCACCGCCTCTCCCCTTGAGGACTGAACACCCACCCCTCCGCCCGCTCCAGTGGTTTCCTCCTACGCTGCTGCTCCTCTTGCCCCGCAGAAGGTCTCTAAAGAAATAGAGCTCATGCTCCTCCTTTACTCAAAACCGCAAACCCTTTCTATCTCACTCAGAATAGAGACAAAAGCACTGATAGGCACATCTCCTAGTCGTGATCCTCCGATGACCCGCTGCTTCCTATCTGAGCTTTTCCTCCTCATTACCCATGCATGGCATGCACCCATTGCACTGCACTCCACCTGTCCCTTGTGGATCCTTAAATTTATGAGCTGAGACTCTGGTCCAGGCCTCCAAACAGCTGCTCATCTGCAAGGGTCATTCTTCTGGTTCCTTCGGGGCAAACTCACACACACCTTTCTGTTCTTCACCCAAGTGTCACCTTAGCAAGGTCTTTCTTGACCACTCTAACTAGTCAGCACCTCGTACACATTCTTTCCCCACTTCCTTGCATTATCCCTTATTTTACCTGTTTGCTTCACTCCTTTCTGTCTCTCTCTGCCCCTCAGTGTGACTTTGAATTAACATATTTATTTCTTACAACTCTGAAGTCTGGAAGTCCAGGTCTAAAGCTATGATGGATTCATGTCTGGGGAAGACCCGCTCTTTCGTCACAGATGGACATCTTCCTGTGACCTCTACTGGAAACTGGGGTGACAGGTCTCTCTGGGGTCTCTTTTATAATGACTTTAATGCCTTTTATGACATCTATGACCTGATAGCTATTTACCTCCCTGAGCCCACACCTCCTAATACTATCATCTTGGAGTTAGAATTTCAATATATAAATTTGGAGAAGATACAAACATTCACCATACTGCAGCTGGTATGTTCACCTGCTTCTGTTTACTGTGTCCCCAGCACCTAGAATACTGCCGAGAACATAGGTCTTCACCAAAGTTCTCTTAAATTAAGTAATTGGTTAGTTATGGAAGCAAGGAGACTAGCCAAGAAGCAGTTCAGCTATTAAAATTAAGGTAACTGTTGTCATATTCAGAACTAAGACATAAATTTAATCAGGAAAAATATTTAGGCAAGAGGATAAGAAATTTTTGGTGACCATTTTATGTGAGAAGTGACCAAGAAGGAACAAGTCCAGCTAAGTTGTGGAGTTTCTCACGGAGGGTACCAGGAAGATCATATGACTTTTATCAATATCAGAAATAGCAGGGAGTGGGTGTATCTGTTTTGGGAGAAAAGGTACTGTTACGTTTGTGTCTTGATGGCACAAGTCAGTCATAGGTAGGCTTTTTCAGGTGGCTGAATCTAGAGTGTGTGATTGATTCATGGTGCAATGCTAGGATTAAGAGTGTGTGATTATTAAATCAGTCCACTGGTTGCTTTGGCACTGCTCTAATCCTAGTAGCCAGGATAAAATATAAGGACAGAAAGAGGTTGGTCTTGCTCCTTGCTGACTTTGCTACCATGAGCTATTTCCCCTCTACAATGCCACCCTGCCATGCCACCCTGCCTTGAAGCCAGCTGATTTTGAAACCTCTACAAACTGTGAACTAAAAAAACCCTCCCTCTTAATTTTGGGTGCTGGGTATTTTATCTCAGCAACCAAAAGACAAGTAGCAAAGACAGATACCAAGTTCAGTTTTGAACTGTCCCTATGAAATGACTGTAAAGCATCAATAAGATAGTCTGTGAGTAATCTGAAATGAGCGTGAAGCTCACAGAGAGATAGGGGCTGAAGACGTATCTCAGGACATAGCCCACTGAGTGCTTCCTGAAAGCACAGTGCAGGGTGGGAGCATGGGGGAAGACAACATAACAGAAAAGGGCTGTGGACTAAATCTTTCTTAACCTCATACCTGAAATCTTACATAAATGACAAAATATTGTCTAAATTCTTGTGCTTGTCTGCTACATGTATCTGAATTTTAAACAACACTGTCTCTGATTTCCTCTACTCTTCCAGATAACGGGAATGTGTTGTTAAATTGCTCTATTAACTCCCAGTTGATTAGTGCATGTACCTGTGTGTCAATGTTAGAAATTAATATCCCTACATAAATATGTTAAGACAAACTTTCAAAGTAAGTCAATAATTATTTTATTTCATAATAGGTGTAAGACAGTACTAGGCATTTAACAAGTACTGAAAACTTATTGATTCCCTTTGCCTGCTCAAAGTGAGATCAGGAGAGACAAAAGATTCAAAGCCTTCCTGTTCCCTGTAGTGTTTGGGAACTTAGGGAGGAAGTAGATGGGAGGAAGTTCGTGCTCTTTTATTCAAACCCACCCGGTTTCCACTTCTTTCTCTGTCACTCCTAAATTATTATGAGTTATTCACTGTCAGCTTCATTTTTCTTGCATTCAAAATAATATGATAGGAATTTCACAAGGCTGTTGTGAAGATTGCCAACATCCATCTATAATGCCCAACATAAAGTCTTTCACAATAAAACTTTAGAAAGATAAATTCCCACAGACACGTTTTTCATGTCAATAAAGGGGGAGGAGGGCTGGTTAAACATTACTACGGAGTATTTGTTTTGCTGTTTTAATGCAAGCACTAAAAATCTCACTGATGGGGTTGTTGTCCCAGTTGTAGGAAATCGCAAATCACCGTGTCTGGGATTTAGGAGTTCAGTAAGTATTTGTGACGGCTGAGCACTGTGCGTCAGAACTGGAAGCAAGGGTATCCCAAAGTGCTAAATAAGTCTCCAGTGAATCATGGATTCTGAATTAAAAGCAAAATATTTTCTTGCATACATTTCCAGCACAATGTAAGTCAAAATTTAACTAATGTTTACAAACATGTCTGTAACAGTTTACAATGTAAATATAGTATTATGCACAATGTAGTTTGCACTACCATAGTCAGCAACATGCAGAGGTTCATCTACAAGCTGCACTGTCAAATAAGACATCAGATTCTTCTTCGGCTGTTTCCACAGAGTGGAACAATTGGTTCTTCTGTAATTACAACTTGTGAGATTAAAGTAATTTGGGCTCCGCGCCCTTTATTCACTTATATGTTTCATCATGCTTTGCAGTCATTGAGGTTAAGATGCTTCCAATCAACTGAAAGAAAAGTTGGCGCTAAAGTCATCCCACCAGTGGCTCACCCACTGTAAAGCACATGCTGACTATTTAGGTTTCATCTTTTGAGAAGGTTTAGCCTCCAATTTAATCATTGCTTTTCAACATTTCAGTGCCTCTCATTCCAAGTCAGATGTCATCTCTGCAAACACAACTAAACAGTAAACATTCCAGGAGAGCTGATCTGCTTTTGAGTATCCTTCACCTCCAACTCTGTCTCCCTCTACTCAGCAGCCACTATAATCGACTGAGCTCAGAAATCCCAAACACTGTGCATTTGTGGTTGCCTATAAGTGGCACAAAGACCCTATGAAGTAACAAATCAGCCAACAGATGCTCAAAAAGTTATCAAATGTCAAATGTCAGTTTCTCCTAATGCTAGACTCTAGAAAATCAGATTGGTCCATATACCAAAATGAACCAAAACAAAATCCTAAAGTTAAAGGTACATTAGTCATCTTTTTAAAATTATTATACTTAGGTTAGTTCCTTTCTGCTTTACATATTTAAATATACTTTTATTAGTGATCATGATTAAGCTGAGTCAGTTTTCGTATTTTATAACGTGTCTTTTTAACAAAGGTGGAAATTGGCCAATGCATGTCTACCTCTGGAATTTTGACCAAAAAAATGAAACTCAGACTAGAATCTGGCTATGAGCACCTGCTTCACACCTATGTTAAGGCTTTTAATTAAATCTGAAACAAGCCCAGGACTTAAAATATAATATATATATATATATATATATATATATATATATATATATCACAACTATTTACAAAACACCTGTATATGTCAGGCACTCTATAAGTGTCAGAAATATCAACACAAAACCCACCTTTATTCTCCAGGCACTTACAGCCTAAAGGAAAACCTACTTAACTGGAAATATTTGTTAAATATGTCTAATATAACTTCATTTTATCTTCAGCATAATCCTGTAAGATATTATTAGCCCATTTTTCAGAAAAAGAGTCTCAAATAAGTGACAACACGATCTCCCAAGAATAGAACTGGAACTCATGCCCAGCAAATCTGCTGACCCCTCTGGGGTGGGTGTGTGAGTCTGTGTGTACTGGCCAGAGGCAGTAAGACTTTCTGACTGATATGCCTGAGAGAAGACAGCCCTGGGAGAAAACAACAAATTACACAAATCCTCTAGTTTAGGGGCAATTCTGATACATGTTAGGTCTTGCTGCTCTCCTGTGTCCCAGCCCTTTGCCTTTCCCCTTATTGTCATTTTTAATAGATGGAAGCTGTCGCGTGAGAGATACACCTGTCTGCCTCTCACAATCCTCACCCATGCTTCTTTCGCCTCCTCCACCCTCCCCTCCCCCATAATCTCTCTCCAGTACAACCCTGAGGACAGTGCCAGGAAGATGGGCTGCTCTTGCCATAGTAATCAGTTCAAGATCTTAGAAGGTATAGCAGTAAATAGGATAACTAGAGTTTTGTTTCATTCTGTTTTATTTGGGTTGATTGTTTTGTTGGTTGTTCTTTTGGTGGACACTGTGTTTGGGGTTTGTTTGTTTGTTTGTTTGTTTTCTTCAGAACTTAATCAGTAGTAGAACAGAAAGCAATTCTAAACCACAGGTCAGATTTCCTTCTTCTTCCTTTGAACTAATAAATAGTCAATAGTTTTGTGGAGGAAAAAGCAATAACCAAATCCAAACAAAAAATCTGGGGAAAAATATCATTAAGGAGGACCTTGTTCCTGTCGGGTCCATCTCCAGGCTGTATTTCTATGATTAGAGACACATGCAAGTGAAGAGCAGGAGGAATCCAGATGACCACCTCATGTAATGAAGGATGTCCTGAGTGACTCGACGCATCATTTCTCTTCCTGTTCTTTACAGGTCAGCAAGAGTGTCAGCAAATTCGCGATTCCTGAACCCATGGGTAGTGTTCTTCACGGTCGTTGCAGTGGTGGGGATCGTGGCCATGATTGTAGGACTACTCATTCACTTCTTAGCTTTTGGTAAGTATAAGAGATGATTACTCATTACTTCTCAGACCAAATAATGAACTATACTTCCGACTAAATGTGTGGTCTTCCTTCATTCCTTACTACTATTCTTTCATTTCTCATTCTTTCTTTCTATCCTTCTTTCTTCCTTTTCTCTCTTGCTCGCTCTTTTGCTTTCTTACTTTCTAGCTCTCTTGCCCTTTTTCTTTTGTTTTTTATTTTTGAGATAGAATCTTGAAAACATACAATTCTCAGGTCCAAGCTTCTGGGTTGCTGGAATTATAGACATGTACAAATACATATGGCTACTTTTATTTCTTAATATTAGGTAATCTCACAGTTTTCCCTAAAAATATATCCATATTTCCTTTCAAAAAGCATTTTATCACTTCTTTTTTGTCCTTTTTAAATATAAAAAGTGTACATTCTGAGTATACCAAACATTGTTACCCAGGGAAGAACCATTGTGAATTTTTTAAAAATCCCTTCATATGTTTCTGATGCTAAAATTTGGTAATTTTTTTTGCTAATAGCATATTGTCTTTTTCATAAAATGTTATAAAATCATAATATTAAAAGGAAACGTCTCATCACTTAGAATTTGAATGTGTCTGAACATGTGTCAATTCATTCTCTGTCTCCTGAAGACAATCTTACATAAACAGAAACTTATGATAATCAGTAGACAAATTTGCAGTGAAAAACAGGTAATATCAAACTTATAAAAAGATTGTTTTTATTATTTCTATCTTCTTAAATTAAAAAAATTTATTAGTACCTGTTTGCAGTATGTAATAATTACATTCATTATGAAGATTTCATACAAAGCACATCTCAACTTATTTTTTACTCCTTTCCTGCCCTTCCCTCTACTCTCTCCATCTCTGGGTCCCTTTCCCCTTTGCAAAAGATCTACAAACATACTTCCTATTACACATTTTTTATTTTATTCTTTATTGTTATTTTGGCTTTCCATGCAAGAGAAACCATGCAATATTTAAACTTATGTGTCTGATTTATTTCACTTGACATTATGGCCTCAAGGTGAATGTATTTTCCTACAAATGACTCAACTTTACTTTGCTTTATGGTAGAATAGCACACCATTGTTTATAAATACCATAATTTCTTTATCCGCTCAACTGTTGATGGATATATAGACTCCTTCTAAGATTTTGCTACTATGAATTGTACTCCTATAAACATCAGTATGCGTACATTACTATGGTATTATGTCTTTAACTCTTTGGGGAATATAACCACAAGGGGAATAGCCAGGTTGACTAAAATGTCTATTTTTAGTTTTTGAGAACTCTCCAGACTGGTTTCCATATTTCCATAAATTAGTACAAATTAGTTGTACTAATTTACACTCCCACCAACAGCGTAGATGTTCCTTTTCCCCACAGTCTCTCCAGCATTTATTATTTGATTTCATGATGATGGCCATTCTTTCTGGAGTGAGATGGAATCTCAGCATTGTTGTAATTTGCATTTCTCTAATGGCTAGTGATGTTGACATTTTTCATGTATGTATTGACCATTTGTCCTTCTACTTCTGAAAAGTGTCTATTTCTGTTGACCATTTTTTGATTTTTTTTTTATTTTGGGAGTTCTAAGGCTTTTTTGGTTCTTTATATATTCTAGATATTAGTTTTATGAGGAATGGCTGGCAAATTTTTTCCCACTGTACAGATTGTCTCTTTACTCGATTGTTTCCTTTGGTGTGCAGAACTTTTGATTCTGATTTAATCTCTTCTTAAAAAAAATCTCATTTGTTGATTCCTCACACTATTTCTTCTGCAATTTGGGTCCTGTTCACAAAGTCCTCGCTGACCTATGTCTTCAAGAGTTTTACCTATTGCCTCTCCCAGAAGGTTAAGTGTTTCTACTTTAATATTTAGATCTTTGATCCATTTTGATTTTAGTTGACTACACAATGAGAGATATGAGTCTAGATTCATCCTTGTGTCTACAGCCAGTTTTCCCAACACCATTTGCTTAAGAGGCCATCTTTTGTCCAACATATGCTTCTGCCAGAATTTCTTCTGCACGCTCTATTCTATTTCAATGGTGTGCAGGTGTTTTTGTTCCTGTATAATGCTTTTATTTTTTAATCACTATGGTCTTGTAATGGAACCTAAAGTGCAGGATTGTGTTGCCTTTTTCTCTGCTCCTGTTTTCCATGGTTGCTTTTTTTCTGAGAGTCTTCTGGTTCTGTATGAATTTTCAAATTCTTTTCTCTAGTTCTGTGAGGAATACTGGTGGCCTTTTGATTGGGATTGCATTAAGTCTGTATATCAACTTTGAAAGTATGGTCATTTTGCCAAGTTTGATTCTACCATCCAGGAATAGGGGATAATTTTTCATTTCTGAATGTTCTCTTAAATCTCTTTTTTCAGTGTGCTATATTTTTTTGTTAATATGGGTCTTTGACTTCCTTGGTTAGGAAGTCAAAGGAAGTGTCTATTTCTGTTGACCCAGAATAGTCAAAGGAAGTTAATCTCTCAGTAATATATTTTCTTCATGCTACTGTGAATACTATTGCTTTCCTCGTTTCTTCATGAGTTCATTATTGTTGTACAGGAACACTATTGTTTTTTGTGTGTTTAGTTTGTATCCCGTTACACTATGACTTTGGTCATTAATTCTAGCAGTCTTTTGTGTGGAAGTTTGGGGGTCTTCTTTGTAGAGTATGTCACCTGCAAATTATAGTTTGAATCTTTTCTTTTCTATATATATCACTTTTATTTCTTTTGCTGTCCTAATTGCTATGGGTAATATTTCAAGTACTGTGTTGAACAGGACTGGTAATAGTGGGCATCCCTGTTTTGTTTCTAATTTTAGAGGCAAACAATGTTTCCTCCGTTTAATATGATGTTGTCTTAGGTTTGTCATAAAAGACTTTTATCAGATTGAGAAAAGATTCTTCCATACATATTTTCTTCAGGGTTTTTTTTTTTAAATCATGAATGGATATTGGGTATTGTCAAATACTTTTCTTCATCTGTTGAGATTACTATACAATTTTATCCTTACTTTTGTTTGTGTGATGTATTATATTTATTGATTTGTGTACGTTGAACCATTCTTACATCCCTGAGATGAAATCCACTTGGCCATGATTTTGTTGATGATTTGTTGTACTCTGTCTTCCAGTACCATGTTGAGGATTTCTACTCATATGTGAACTAAAGTATTGGCCTATAGAACTCTATTTTAGTTCTCTCCTTGTCTGCTTTTGGAATATCGGTAATACTAGCTTCAAGAATGACCTTGGGAGCATCACCACATTTCAATTTCATTTAAGTCTTTGAGGAGTGTTGTAATTAGAGTTTTCCTGAAGCTTTGTAGAATTTAGCCATGAATTCATCAGGTTCTGGGCTTTTCTTTGATGGTGTGGGTTTTTTTATTACTACTTCAATTTCATTTCCTGTTACTAAATAATTAGGATTTTTATGTCTTCTCAGTTCAGTTTTGGTAATTCATATATATCTAGGAATCTACCATTGCTTCTGGATTCCCCAACTCTTAGAAGATGGGTTTTCAAAGTATTTACTAATAATATTCTTGATTTCAGTGGTGTCTTTTTTTTTTTCCTTTTTTTATTTCTAATTGTTGATTTGGGTCTTTTCAATTTTTATTGATAGAATTGGTTAAAGGCTCATGTGTTTCATTAATTCTTTTGAAGAACCAATTCTTTGATTCATTGTTTCTGTATATTGTTCTTAGTTTCAATTTCATTAATTTTTCTTCTTATCTTATAATATCCTCCCTTGCATTAACGTTAGATTTAGACTGTTTTTCTAGGACCTTGAGTTGCATCGTTAGGTTATTTATCTGGGCTTGCTCTGTTGTGTTAATTTTGGTATTCAAAGCTACTAACCTCTCTAGGACTATTTTCATTGTATCTCATAGGTTCTGGTATGTTGTGTAGAATATGTCATTTGAATCTAGGAGCAGACTACTTTCTTCTTTGATTTATTCTATAACCCATTGATTATTCTGTACTATATTTTTTTATTTCCATGTGTTTGCATACTTTCAGTGGCTTCTTTTGCAATTGATTTCTAGTTTCACAGCACTATGATCTGATATTATCAATGGAAAATTTTCAATCCTTTTGTATTGACTTAAGCATACTTCATGGGTTAAAATGTGGGCTTTTGGAGAAAGACATGTGCTACTGAGAAGAATATGTATGCTGTTTTTGCTTAGTGGAGCACTATAGATACCCATTATGCTCCTGTATTAAAGGTGTGGTTCAACTTTGCTATTTCTTTGTTGATGTTTCACAAAGCTTGTCTGCCTACTTGACACAGGTGTTACTGAAGACTCCCACTATATTGTATTGGGGGTTATCTAAGTTTTCATATTTAGTAGTGTTTGCTTTATAAAGTTGAGTGTGTCAGTGTTTGGTGCATATATATATAACTGTTACCTCTTCCTGTTGAATTGTTCCTTTAACCAACATGTAGTGACATTCTTTGCATTGTCTTGTCAGTTTTGGGCTGAGGTCTACTTTGTCTGAAAATAGGATAACTACCCTTGCTTGTTTTGGGGCTCCTCTTTCTTTGAATATTTTTTTTTCTCTTTTGAGTTTTTCTCCTTTGAGTTTTTTTTCTCTCTCTCTATGAGTTTTTCTTTTTCTTTCTTTCTTTCTTTTTTTTTCTTTTTTTGGTTTTTTTTTTCCGGTACCGGAAATTGAACTCACGACCTTGCACTTGCCAGGCAGGCACTGTGCTGCTGAGCTAAATCCCCAGCCCCACTATGAGTTTCTCTTTGGACTAGATGTGTTTCTGACATACAACATAATGTTGGGATATAATTTTTTTAATCTATTCTGCCATTCTGCATATCTTTACTGAAGCATTGAGACCATTCATATTGATAGTTATCACTGAAAGATACTAATGTATTCCTGTCATTGCATTATTTTCTGTTGATTCTTCTTTCTTCCTTCTGCTTAACTCCTCACCTTGTTTACTGTATTCATTTCAGTAGACATTTTG